GGTTAGAGCTTGTACTCGGTATCACTAGAACGTCGATTCAGTGCAACTCGATTGCTAGATATTAAGGAGGAAGGTGTTTTGTTGCGGCAATTTTGTATCAGTGGCTAGTCAACATGTCTTGAAATCGATCAACGATATCATTATTAAGAACTTATAGAAACACATCATTTCCAGTAAAAATGACTAAACAATCGTTTTAAAACATAATCATTCATGTTGTTCCGCTACTTATTCTATCTACACTTGCTGGAACAAATATATAATATATATATAATATATATATATATATATATATATATATATTATATATATATATATTTTACATAGTTATCATATCTCATGCATTAAAAAAATGGTATAGTCTCTTTAATTGAGAATATAAAAACATAAACCTTGTTTAAAAATTTTCTTTATTATGTAAAACAATTTCTTTTGAGGATGTTAGTACCTCCACCACCCATATAGCTCCTCCACTTCATCATCATATTTTCCTTTTCATTTTTCTTTTCCACGACATTCAGCCCACGGTTTTTATCACCTAAATCCTACATAAGGTGTCTTTACTATGATAAAACCATTACATACCACCTCCCATCCGAACTCCCTCCGGCCTAACTTTGCCACCTCCTCATCCGAACGTTTTAAAAATAAAAAATACTTATATTTACTTGAACAACCTTTTATTCGTTTTAAATCCTTGTGTTAAATCCAAACAACGGTGATCCTATCCGTCGATTTCGTTATGATGACGTGTCGATGCATCAATGGTTATGTTGTTCCTGATCAAAAAATTCGTGGTAGCATCTAACCGCCAAACCAAATGACCTTATGACCTTTTAACCCATCAACAATTCTTTTTTCTTTCTACACCTACTCTCTCTCTCTCTCTCTCTCTCTCTCTCTCTCTCAAACAGTTCCATGGAATCTTCAAATCGCTGTTCAGTTATCATCATCGGCGCCGGAATTTCAGGTGAAACGATCAATACATTCATGTACATCTATTGATTTGTGTACATTTATGTATGTAAACATTATGTATCTGTTTGTATAGGCATATCGGCCGCGAAGGTATTGGCAAAAAACGGAGTTGAGGACATTTTGATCCTAGAGGCGTCTGATTCCATCGGTGGGAGGATTAAGAAACAGAATTTCGGAAACGTAACGGTGGAGCTCGGTGCCGGTTGGATCGCCGGTGTTGGTGGAAAACAATCAAATCCAGTCTGGGAACTCGCTGTTCAATCCGGTCTTCGTACGTGCTTCTCCGATTACAGCGATGCTCGTTATAACATTTACGACCGAAGGTACACATACAATAGAGCATACACCTAATTTTCTATAACAAGTATTTTATCCACCGATGAAGAATGTCATACAACGTTTAAACAAATTTAAGTTATCTATATTTATATTGTGCTCTATAATTCCATCGGCGCATTGTTTTCGTATTAATTTGTTTTTGAAGCTTGTAATTCGTAAACTAATGAAGTTTGTCACGAACAATTGAATCATTAATTATCGCGTTCAATTCGCATAGAAAAATAAGGAAAATCCGTAAGTTTTTTTACTTGTTTAATCGATAATCAATACAATCGACTTTACATATTACGTGATTAGATACGTATGATTTTTGTGAGAATTCTCCGTTTTCGTTTGATTGATTGATTGATTATTGCGTTATTGATATGGCGTTAATTATACGGTTGCAGTGGGGAGATATTTCCGAGTGGGTTGGCCGGTGACACGTATACGAAGGCGGTTGAGTCGGCGATGCAAAAGCTAAGGACTGATCGGGACATCCTTCTTTCTGCTGACGTGTCCGATATTCCCGAACTTTCCACGTAACTATCTCTTATCGCTTTCACGCACACAACGAGCCATTGTGTGTTTTGCCTTTTGGCTTCTTTCTGTTCACGTATTTTTTTTTTCATCGTCTTCTTTCCCATTTTCTAATCAGTTTTGGTAATTTAACCTTTTTGTATATATATATGTCACCTTCACTTTAATAGTTTTATGTTGAAATGGATTTTGATTCTGATTCATATTTGTTCTTTTCTCCAGCATACCCGAAACACCTATTGAGCTCGCAATTGATTTTATCCTTCATGATTTCGAAATGGCTGGTTAGTGTCACAAGTCACAACCCATTACCTTACGCTTATTAAAAAAAAAAAAATAGTTCTTTAAAAATATATATTTTAATAGGAATAAACCAACATATGTGCGCCCATTATCATTTTAAACTTCCATTTGGCTTTTGGCACGAACTTTTTGCCGGATTTTCGTACATTTCCGCTGGAAGTGCTTCATTTTTCACTTAAAATATTTATCTACCCACAGAAACATTCAAAGAAATTAATTTAATAAGATACATGGGTTATACTTTCATTTATTTTCAAATATATGAAAGTACATTGTAATTGGTTGTATTTAAATCATATTAAAATTCTTATTTTGTAGAGGTTGAGCCAATATCAACATATGTGGATTTTGGGGAGAGGGAATTTTTAGTGGCGGATGAGAGAGGATACGAGTATTTACTGTATAAAATGGCGGAGGAATTTTTATTTACATCTGAGGGGAAAATCTTGGACAATCGTCTAAAATTAAACACTGTAAGTACAACACTGAGATACAAAATAATAAATTTCTGATGAGTGAGATTTATTTGTTTTTATTTGCCAGTTAGTTTTTTTGTTTTATTAGCCAATATACAGCTAGTGAAAGTTAAATGATATGAAGTGATTAGATTCTTAGAACTATTTAATTAGTCAAATCTGAAACTCATTAAAATGAAAAAAAAAGGAATAATTGTTTTTCATTTGTTCCTTATAGTACTTTCCTTTTATTTCTTCTATTATGAACTTTATTTTAATAATTCTCATTCTAGCAATGTCATTCGGATACAACTCATTTTTTAGATATTAGTTGCTATAATAAACACACAAATAAACGTAATAATAACGACCTACTTTTTGTTATAATATCATACTGTCATTTTTTTAAAATTATTACAATACTGTATTTTGAAAATTTTACCAAATTATGTCAATTAATCGCAAATACACAACTTTTTATGTAATAGAGCAAGGAAATAATAAAATGTAGGCATAACTGAGTTGATTTTTTCATGTAATTTAAAAAAATAAAAATAAATAAATAACATGCGTTCATCATACAAAATATATTAAACTGCCACAAAAAGTAATAAATTTAAAGATATTACAAGTACCTTTATGTATTTGTTCGTTAGATCTATTATTTTCATTTATTTCATAATTTACCATTTATGCCGAAAAAAAAAACGTTTATTCAAATTATAATAATGTCATCTACAATCTACACATGTAAATGATTTTTCCTTTTTACAATTGAATTCAGTTTCCATACTATAATACCATAAGTCCGTAATCCGCAAAGACGATATACAACATATGATCACCATTAAGTCATTTCATATTTTGTACTTTTTTTTCTATATTTTATTCTAACTATTTTTATTAATTTTACTAGAACATGACAAACGGTGTCTTTTTCATTCTTTTACAAAAATTGGTCCCTATATTCATGAATTGATAAAACAAACAGAAAAAGACAAAAGAAAAGGTAAATTAGTCATTTTATATTTTTACATGTGGTTAACTAACTGGGATATATGGTAACAACAAAAGCTACCAAAGTTGATGGAATTAGCAACCGTGAGAACTCCTTTTGCTAAATTTTTTAAACTTAGACTAAAACCATATGAAAGTGATAACCACAGGGACCATAACTGTAATTAAAGGAAAGTGATTCGTATTGTTTGAGTTTTTTTTATGAATGGTTGTAGTGATGAGTCATTACGTGCATGCATGTTATCATGGATTGCAGGTTGTGCGGGAATTACAGCACTCGAGGGACGGCGTTACCGTGATAACGGAGGATGGTTATGTTTATGAAGCCAACTACGTAATTTTGTCTGTTAGTATTGGCGTCCTTCAAAGCCACCTCATCTCTTTCAACCCCAACTTGCCTGTGAGATTCTCTCTCAATCAAATCTGTAATTACTTTTTATTTTTATAATAAGACAAAATTAAAAAAAATAAAGGAGCACATCGGAAAAAGCACTTTGGATAAGAAAAAAAAAATCATTCCTTAACTTTTTACTTTCTAATTTAACGTTAAAATATTGGTTTCTCCAAGTTTGCCTTTAACATAAGCTTTACTCGACAACGCCAACCATGTCTTCGTGCGTGTGCAAGTTATATGCATTTTATATTGGTGAAAAATAACAATGTTCTCTTTTTAGGAAAAATAGCGATGTTTTTAAAAATTTAAAATTTACTCATAGCATCAATTTTTTTACCTATATTGTCGCAAAGAGGCCAGGGGTGGATCCAATAATAAAAAATTACAATGATACAATATAAAAAGCAATGGAAGTAGGGTGTTATAAATATAATAGACAAAATGTTTTCGTTTATTCTTAGACACTGCACATGCCTATGGAGTAGCCAACATTAACGTGTGTACTATGAATCTTGTGGCCACTACCCTATTATATATGCTCTAAATTAATCTCCATCACATTCTTCATGCCACATGTTATCTATCTCTTGTCCTTATTAAGCTAATAATTTCACACAAAAAGATACACCTAAGTTTTATTTTGTATCTATCATATCAATGCGTATAGATTCCAACCTTTTTGCTAGCTTATGATTGTCCATTCATTTGTTTACTACAACAATACAACATCCTACATATATATTTAATTATTACATAATTGTACTTTAAAATGATCTCTAGCAATCTCATCCAAATCCAAATAATTCTTTTTACTGCTTTTCAAAGCAGAATGCGAAAATAAGAGAAAAAAAAAATGAAAACAGGATGCGAGAATAATTAATACATAAATAAACGAAAGCAAGATGCTATTATTTACATCAAGTTAAAGTAGTTAGCATCATGGACCATGTATTAATAGGAAAATTGGACCTCAATTTTTTATTCGATCATTTTCATAGTCTGATACCATGCTCTATTAACTACGTTTCACAATATTCTCCCAATGCTATGGATGAATCAGCTGGTTTTGATAATAAATATTAGGAAATTCCAATCAAGGGAAAGTGATATTTCTTGTCCACATTACATATTAGTCTTCTAAATTGATTTTTCTCATTTAAATATTCTTTAAAGGCCAGTTTTGTAACTCCCCAGTAATATATATCTCTATCTTGAAATAATTTCACAACTTTCTGTTTACCTAGAAATACATTAATTTTGCTTCGGAAAAGATTACAAGAATTTTCCACGAGTAAAAGTTGTTTTTATATCTTGATGACATTACTTTATGTGGGTATAATTATGAAAACACAACGTTGTAATAAAATGAAATAAAAGTACGATGCTATAAATAATAAATAAATGAAAATATGTTGCTATTTCTTAAACAAAATCCTTTTGGCATTCTAGGATAATAACATAACATGAAACAAATTCTCAAAATTGTTGTGCTTTTTTGGGACCATGGTTGATTAATTAAAGAGGAGGAGTTATTGTTCTTGTTAGTGGACCTCTGTTGATGTAAACCTCGTATGAAAAAATGGGAGATTTTGGGTGATTTAAAATTGACGAAAATTATATTTTATAATAACAGAGGTGGAAAATGGAGGCCATTGAAAAATGTGATGTTATGGTGTACACGAAAATCTTCTTGAAATTTCCCAAGAAATTTTGGCCTTGTGGGCCCGGAAAAGAGTTCTTCATATATGCCCATGAACGAAGAGGCTACTATACATTTTGGCAGGTTCGTTTCATTTATTCTTTGTTTAATATTTAATATATTATTATTGCATGATTCACGTTTGTGTATTTATTTAAATAAATTAATTAGCCATCCTTCACTTCTCCTATAAAATAACATTAACTAGCTTAACACCATCTTAAGAGGGTGTTTGGCATGTAGAATATTTTCGGAAAAACCAAAGTTGTCGACATTTGGAATTGGATGCTTTTGGCAAACAAAAAACAGGAATCAAGTTAAATAATACGAAGTTCATAATTTTTCTATGTTATTTTATTTCAATTTTGTTTTCATATATTTTAGGACAATATACAACAAAACAGTTGTACTCTCACATTTCATTTTTCATTTGTCGACATAAAAGTAATTCTTTTTAAAAAAAAAAAACCATTTATCAATTAATCATTGACCTATTGTAATAAATAATTTGATCCTAAGATCTTTAATGTTGAATGTATCGAAACAGCACATGGAGAATGCATACCCAGGGTCAAACATTCTCGTTGTGACATTGACAAATGGGGAATCAAAACGTGTTGAATCCCAATCAGACCATGAAACAATGAGAGAAGCAATGGAAGTTCTTAAGAACATGTTTGGGCCCGACATTCCAGAAGCTTCCGACATTCTTGTTCCACGCTGGTGGAATAATCGCTTCCAGCGTGGCAGTTACAGTAACTACCCTATCTATGCTGACTCAACAATGTTTGAAAACATCAAGGTCAACACCCAACACGCATCCTTCCTAATACTAATTTTACATTTTCTAACCCTTATATATTTGTTACTCTCATTACATAACAAAGAGTAAATTACACGAATGGTCCCTATGATTTAGGTTAATTTGCGCGTTTGGTCTCTAACTTATTTTTTTAACTCGGAAGGTCTCTACTGTTTGTTTTTGTTACGCGCTTGGTCCCTATCTTACCTAAAAAGACTATTACGCCCTTCATTTTTTTAATTTATTTAAATGAACACTCCCCTAATCCCACCCCTCACCTTACCTCACCTACCTCATTATTTTTTCCTCTTTAAATAATAGTCTTTTTAGATAAGATAGGGACCAAACGCATAACAAAAATAAACAGTAGGGATCAAACACGTAACAAAAACAAACCATAGGAGCCTTCTGAGTTAAAAAAATAAGTTAGAAACCAAACACGCAAATTACCCTAAACCATAGGGACCATTCGTGTAATTTACTCCATAACAAAACACAACATATGAAAATGAAACAAAAGTAGAATCTTTAATTTTGTCCCAATATTAACTTACATTTCGTGTCATATATTCATCATTAGGCTCCTGTAGGACGAATCTTTTTCACTGGAGAACATACAAGCGAGAGGTTTAGTGGCTACGTCCATGGTGGTTACCTAGCAGGTATTTTCTGGAATCAAAGTATATATATAATATATATATATATATATATATATATATATATATATATATATAATAAATATATATATATATATATATATATATATATATATATATATATATATTGCATTAGAATGATTGGTGTTATGAACAGGTATAGAAACGGGAGAAGGTTTGTTGGAAGAAATGAAGAGTGAGAAAGATAGAGAAACGAATAGCAAATCAATTTTAGAACCGTTGCTAGCACTAACATTATCACAAACAGAAGCAGTGGGTGGACTCCAAACATGTGATATTCATAGGCACCTTTTCCATGGGAATACCAAAAGGGAGGCCATCTTATGACTACAAAAACCACAACTTGTAGATAACACACACATGATTCATACCTCAAACTTAACACCCCACATTTCGATATGGTAGGGTAGGTAGGGTGGGAGGGGGGAGGGGGTGTATGGGGTGGGTAAATAGTGAGGTCCTTCATCAATTGTTAGGTTGTGCATCAAAGGAAGTCGATGGATTATAAGATGTATTCATATTGTTTTCGGGTAGTCACATAGTAAGATTAAAAATTTTACCATTTGGATGTAACTTTTAAACTTTTGTAATTAGTTTTGGTGCCACAATTCGGCAAAAAGTGTTATGGCGTGTTAAGTTGGATGTAATGGAAGTACACAATGAAATGGGATATTATCAAGGAATGGAAAGGTTGTGGAATGCTTTGTTACTATTTCTTTGTCATGTTATTTCTTTGGATATAATGGAAGTACACAATGAAATGGGATATGATCAAGGAATGAATTATTAGTGTATTTTGTGGTAGGTATCTACTCCAAAAATTATCTTTTTTTTTCGTAATAATGGTCAATGAATAAGAAATAAATAAATAACGCAAATAAATTTTAAAAAGATGTAAGTTTCTATAATAAATGACTTTAAAATTTTGGATGGCCATCAACTCGTCCTCTATAAAAGCAAAAAGACGACAATGTTACACTTATTAACACTCAAACTAACAACCTATGTTTAACCTTGACATGAAGCCTTATACAAGGATCCCTTTTTTTATCCCTCTTAATTCCAAAAACAACATGTTTTGTTGCATCTTGGATCTTTGAATCAATTACATCCATCAAATCTTTCAAGATATAATGCAGAAAATCACTTAACAATTTAGAGGGTACATGTAACCCATAATGATCTATGCCATAACATCTTGAAACCAACATACTATAAACAACAAAACCAAATGAAGCCTAATATAATCGAAATCATGAAATTAGGTGTACATACCTTTGATTTGTTGTAGTAAACACATCACTTCAATCCCTTGTAGTTGTTTGTCTTGGAAAGCTTAAAACCGGAAAATATGGCGGGTGAAGCCTTAAGAGGAATGAAGAAGAACTTTGAGATCAAGGGAAACAGAGTTCGTTATTTCATGAACCCCAAAGTTCGGTGGTTACAGAGACGTAGTCATGAATGAAGCATATAAGACTCGATACTCTGTTCACCCAGGCTCAGATACGATGTATCTGGATCTCAAGAAGTTCTATTGGTGGCCAAACATGAAAGTCGAAATACCTACCTACGTGGGCAAATGCCTAACTTGCGCCAAAGTCAAGGTAGAATATTAAAAGCCCTCAGGTTTACTACAGCAGCCAGAAATACCTAAGTGGAAGTTGGAGCAGATTTCAATGGATTTCATTACCAAATTACTCAAGACAACGAGTGGTCATGACACCATTTGGGTAATTGTTGACAGATTAATCAAGTCCGCACACTTCCTACAAATCAAAGAAACAGAAAAGATGGAGAAGCTGAAGAGAACTTACATCCAAGAGATAGTACAACTGCACGGTGTGTCCATATCTATTATCTCATACAGAGAGAGTAGGTTCACCTCGCGATTTTGGCAGTCACTTCAGAAGGCTCTTGCAACTAGGCTGCATATGAGTACAACCTACCATCCACAAACTGACGAACAGAGTGAGAGAACCATTCAAACACTAGAAGACATGCTAAGAGCATGTGTTATCAACTTTGGTAAGGCATGGGATACCCATTTGCAACTTGTCGATTTTCCTATAACAATAGCTACACATCTAGCATCAAGGCTGCCACATTTGAAGCCCACTATAACCGTAAGTGCAGATCCTCTCTGTGCTAGGCTAAAGTAGGTGATACACAGCTAGCTAAAGGGCAAGTTCTTGATAGCACTCTCACACATCCGAAAATCATTCGACAAAACCACTGAAAAGATTGTCCAAATCTGAGAACGGCTGAAAGCCTCTAAAGATAGACAAAATAGCTACACAGACAAGAGACGAAAACCCTTGGAATTCCAGGTTCGTGACCACGTTCTGTTAAAGGTCTCACCTGGGAAGGGAAAGAAACGCTTTGGAAAGCATGGAAAGCTAAATCCAAGGTACATTGGGCCATATCGAGATCCTCGCTAGAATCGGCCCGATAGCTTACAAACCCCATTTACCACAAGAACATAACAACGTAAACCCCGTCTTTCACATGTCAAATCTAAAGAAGTGTCTATCTGACGAGACTCTTGTGATTCCACTCAATGAAATCGAGATAAACAAGAGTCTTAACTTTGTGGAAGAACCAGTAGAAATCATGGATAGGGAAGTTAAACGAACGAAATAAAGTCGCATACAATACTGAAGGTTCGCTAGAACGCCATACAGGGACCTGAATTCAGTTGGGAGCGAGAAGATCAGATGCAACAAAACTACCCACACCTATTTCCTAGTCCATGATTATACTCACTATAGAAAGAATTTCGGGATGAAATTCCCTTTAATAGAGGGATAATGTAACAACCCGTCATTCTCAAATCAATAAGAGTCAAAAACTACATTTCAATTCTTGTGTATGCACATTAACAGAGGGATAATGTAACAACCCGTCATTCTCAAATCAATAAGAGTCAAAAACATAAATAACACCCCATATAGGTGTTTTCGGCAATAGAGTTCTAAAAGAAAAGAGTTTTCGCCCAAGAAATTAATGCAAAGGTGGTTTTTGGATTTGGAATCATGCTTAAAAGGTGTTTATGGTTTTGATTTGTTGCTTTTGATCCAAAAACACAATCCAAAGGCCATTAGGGGCGAAAACCCAATGGTGTAGAACCGTAAACACCAAAGCCCAAGGCCCACTAGAACCGAGAACACATTCCTATATATTTAAACACCAAAGCCTAAGGCCCACTAGAACCCAATGCTTATAAACTAATAACTAAATGTAGTTTAAGTTCCAATTTGAATTATGACATTATAATCTAACATAAGTTGATAGACTAAGGTTTAAAACATAAATAACACCCCATATAGGTGTTTTCGGCAATAGAGTTCTAAAAGAAAAGAGTTTTTGCCCAAGAAATTAATGCAAAGGTGGTTTTTGGATTTGGAATCATTATTAAAAGGTGTTTACGGTTTTGATTTGTTCCAAAAGGGTGTTTTCGGTTTGCTTTTGATCCAAAAACACAATCCAAAGGCCATTAGGGGCGAAAACCCAATGGTGTAGAACCGTAAACACCAAAGCCCAAGGCCGACTAGAACCGAGAACACATTCCTATATATTTAGTTCATCCGAAAACCGAATTCATTTCCTCACGTTTCAGCCGTGAACTACTACTTTTTGCTCTCCATTACCATCCGTGAACACCCCTTTTTCTCTCAATCTTCAAGTGTTTTCGTCCAGACCTTCAACCAATCTTCAAATCTTCATAAGATTTATTCAAATCTTCTTATTTCCACCAAGAACATTCAACAAGACCTTCAAATCTTCAAGCCCCAGCCGAGAACTCCTAATCTCAACTAACAACTCCAATTTGTCCACTGAAAACCATTTCAACAGTTGAAACAATTCCAAATAATTATTGTAAGTATTCATTACATTATTAAAGTGTTGTTTAACACTTTAATTATTATTTCCAACATTATTTAATTCATTATTTAAATTAATATTTTATTAAATTTAAATACGATGTTGGAAATAATTATTTTAGGACAACGTTATTCGCACATACGTTACCTGATGATCGCCTCTATAACTCACTATTCAAGCTAACGCACATTTGAGGTGAGTTCATACCCCTACATTTTCAATGTTTTTAAGGGGGGGGGGGATACAAGTAAAAATCAAGAACTTTTGTGTTTATACAAATATTTTAGTACAGTTTCAAAGCATTTGCAAATGATTCAAACCTAGTATTGGCTACATTTCATTAATATATTATTATATTTTCAACCTTTTTGTAACATGTCAAGCATAAGGGTATTTTACTTTCATACAATTAGATAGAAAATGTTTTATGTACATTACAGAACGTTACAGTTAAACTATAATTGGTATAGTTGGGAATCACTACACTATTTTACTAAGTACAATACACAGAACAAGAACATTTATTCAAACTATAATAGGTATACTTTGGGAAACACTACTCTAACATATTGATACAAGTATACGCTACTAAAAGAATTATTTAATTATAATTATTTTACTCTACAAAGTACATTAATACAATGCAATACATATAATTTCTAGTACAAGAGAACACTACAACACTAAAACACTACACATAAACTAGTTAATATAGGGTTGTGAGACACTACTTCAATTGTATCCATCAAGGTATGGAACTAAATCCTAAATGGTATAACCAGAGTCTCCTGGAGGGAGAGTGTAATAGTTGTTTATAGATCTATATGGGACTGACAATCCCACACCTGAACTGCTAGTTACAGTTAGGCCGGCAGGCCTAGGGTGACAAATGGCATAACTTTCAGAGGCCTGAAGGACGTCGTAGAGGTCACTAGGTCGTATCAAGCATGGTTATATGAAAATCACAATAGTATAACTAATACATTTGTTTAGGGGATTAAAATTTCTTCAAATGTTTTATTTTAGTTAATGAAACTAAAGTACACTACTCTACACTACAGCTGGTGATAACTAGGCATTTGTACTAAGGTTTTCATACAAACGCTATTACAATACGCTACTATACACTACAGTTGGTGGTATTCCAGGCATTCATACAAAGGTTTTCATATAAAACTAGTTATAGTACAATATTTTCTAGCACTAAGTACACTAATACATTATACATTTACAAGTAACATACATAACTACATTGCTTTCACTATACAAAAAGATTGGATTTTCTAGAGAAACATACTAGCATTTTCAAAGTACAAAGACAAGTTATCCATCACCAAAACATACTTATGACCTCACCAACTTAAATGTTGATACACTTTCAAAATCACTTGTATTCTCAGGGAACCGGTAAGACATGTACACCCGCATGTTTTGAGAAGATGGAGCTTGTAGAGTAGTGTCTTTTATGCTTTTGCTATATATTTTGATGTCATACAAACTATGTATCAAACAAATGTAAATACTTTACTTTATCAA